GTACACTGGCAGGCAATTAGGTGAGAATACAACCTTCGAAAGCATAGAGAAAGCAGGTCACTTGGTTCACCTGGAGCGACCCTTTGTTTATAATAAGTGTCTTAGGCGTTTTCTGGCTTCATTGCTCGATGAATGAGTCTTGCAGGTTTATTTAGAGTTGCTGTCATGAAAACAGAAAAAGGGCTTTGGACTCTTATTGCAATGGATTATTATTTCTTATACAGCTTCTCCATTTTCTAGCAAATAAAATAAATTGGAACAAATTCCTCTTCTTTTTTATTTTTATATTTCCATTATTTTAAATAATAATAGTAATGCAAACATGTCATCAAACAACTGCTATTGATAAACTGGTGAACAATGCATGATACAGGTTTTGCTAAAGCCAACGCTGGATATGAACAGCACATACAACTCGAAAGAACTTTGAAAACAAAATCCAAAAAGATAAAATGCATACACTGAAGATCCGTTTTTATCTGAAAGAAGACTGAATCTCTTCCAGACTTCTTCCTTTGGTTTCAGGGACCCACAGTGCCACAAAAACAATGGTGAATGCAGCCACACATGCGTAAATTGTGAAAGTTCCTGCTCATAGGAAGCAAACATGTTAATTTTATAGATTCTTAGCTTGCACATACAACTAAAAACAGATATTGAGAGAAAGAGAAAGACCTCCACCACTCCAGGTCAGAAGCAAGTTTGCTGTCATGGTAATTGCCCATGATGTGGTCCAATTCGCCAACGTTGCTACACTCCCAGCTAGACCCTTAATATTCACAGGAAGTATCTGAAAAGATGTTTAAGTTTAGAGAAAATAAGCACCAAACTGAACCAACCACGGATTTACAAACATCATAAACCGTATCTTTACTAGTAACAAAGGACTTGAAAGCAAAATTCCACACTTAATTTCTGTTTAGAGAAACCGAATATCATATTCTATGGTTGTAGCAACTTGTGCAAGGAATTCCAAAAAAATGCACGGACGCATACAAGAGATGCACAAACATGTCATAAGAAACACACTTATAACCCTAGTGGCGAAGCAGTGGAGAATCAATATATAAGAATCTTAATGCTGTTTCGGTCGCATGGGCTTAAGGTACACAATTGTGTCCCAGGTTAGTTTCTTGCTTCCTGCCTCTCACACTCTAACTAAAGCCAATACATACGTTAATGTCACCCAGATTACAAGATTACACACATACACCAAGTTTAGAAGCAACAGCTAATAAACATGCAATATGGTCTCATCGGATTAAATATCACTGTCACTAGATATGCACTACCTTACCCATCCCAGTCCCACCTCTGCTTTGTCAAGAGACAGAAATAAATACTCAGAAAAACAATTATTTTTGGTTCTGTTAGGCAGATATACGCCTCCAACTAAATATGATAATACGGGATTGCTTAAAATGATTAAAATCTTCGTTCTTCATCGTTCTCAGTTGCTATCATCCATGGTCAAACGAGCTGTATAATCACTGATGAAAAATACTCTCACCTATCACTATCGAGTAGTGTTTCATATAGAATCCTATAATGGAGAAATTAGAATGTTTCCTATTTATGTAAGGTGGAACTATAAGAGAAATTTGAATACCTCAGACATTATAACCCATGGAATTGCTCCGATTCCCAGAGAAAAGGCAATAACAAAGGCCTGAATTGAAGGAAAAAAATCAATCAGAAATCTATTTGACGGAAGTAGGGTACATGATACATACACACACGCAGACACAAAAACACATATATATTATATTCATAAACACAAACTTCACCACGAGTGAAAGAAAACTTACCACAAGACCGACCAGTGAAAGTACCCCCATTATGTGATATAAGTCGGAATCTTCAGCAACAGTTTTCTGGTATCAGTGAAGAGAAAGGAGAAGGTATCAAGAAGCAGTAGTAAAATAATTAAGAAAGAATTTATAAAGTGGGGTTACTTCAGTATTGACGATGGCATTTTAAAAAATTTAGAAAGGGGAAAATAAATTAGAAATAAATGGACCTAACATCACCAACCTCAACAAAAAATGCAACTGCAACAATGAGCAGACTCAGAGTCATTCCAGACGAGGATACCTGCAAAATCATTTATGATTATTGATCTTATTCATTTCTATCTTAACCATAGCTCAGTAGCAAATATAGAATGAAAGGTTAGTTCAAGCACACCATAAGAAGAACCCTGCGGCCAGTTTTGTCCACCAGCCATGTAGTCACACCAGTTGCAACAACCTACACAGAATAGACACCTATTAGATTGATCAGAAATAAAAGCTTCCTGGTAATATATGACCTCCTGCATGACGAAATAAGAATGTGCCTACTTTACCTGAATGGCCCCAAGCCCAAAAGTTGCAACATTACTAGATGAAACCCCTAAACAATTTTATTGCACTGTCAAATTAGTGAATCATAAGGAATAAAGAAATAAATAAATGAAAAACCCAAAACTTTTGCAATCTTAAAATGAGAACCTTAAGATGGGAATGGGGAATTCATATTTTGTTAATCTTGTACAATTACTGATTAACAAAATGCCCCTCATATTTTTAAGATTAAACAATATCAACAAGATGTATAAAGTGAAATTAGCAAATCTCCAACAGACAGCAAATGCATTATTTCCTGCAAAATTTAGCATATCCACTACAAATATTTTGAATGACAAGTTTGTCTTGCTAAATTTGAATTTGATAATGCATACTATCCAAAATGAGGTAATGAGGCTCATGCTAGGCAAAGTATCCATTTATAAGAGAATTTATTTTTCATCATCTAAAGATTTAATTAATATAAAGTCATCGTTAAACATCAAAGAAATGTTGTTCTAACCAGCACTTTCGAAGATATAACTTGCATAGAATAAAACACCATTGATGCCACTAAGTTGCTGAAGCACCAGTAATCCAATTCCTATCTGCAGCATACCAATTACCACTAAAATTAGAGGTTCAATCAACATTTTCTAGGGAAAGGGAAAGAAATGCTATAAATGAAATAAAAAAAGTATTAAAAAAAACAAAGAATATACCGTCAAAGGATACCAATATCTTTTGCGCTTGAGATCTGCAAAACGAATTGTTGTTCTCTTGCTTGATGATGCCACAGCTCTCTGCAGAGATGCCAATTATAGCTTAACTTTATAAGTATAATAGAAAAAGATGCCCTTAAGACAACCTCATGCTTAACACCTAAAGCTTTTGTGTACCAACTTAGTTTTGCAGTTCAATCCAAAATGTATGAGCCTTGGTTGAAGTTAAAAAAGACAAATTGCAGTGATTCAGTTCAAAACCTTAATTTCATTGACTTCGACAGAAATATCTGTATCAAAGCCACGCAAAACTTGCAGAGAGGATTCAAAATCTTCCATCATTCCCATTTTTGCCTGGACACAACACAGTCACAAAACTAATAAACAAAATACTACATGGAAGAAGAAAAGTGGAAAAGATAAGAAGTTTTAAAAGGTCCACTCAAATGATTGCAGGTACATGTTTCTTACCAGCCATCTAGGAGATTCTGGTATGAAAAATAGGCCAGGTATCAATATCGTACATGGTAATATTCCTATAAAGAAGAATCACAGCAGTTTGTCAGCGATAACTGTATAAATTTAATTGATTACTGATAAACACTGACCATAGATTATCTTCAATAGAAGCATAGATGCATACGGAAATGCCATGGCTATATTGTCATGGGACACAATAGTCTCTTTAGAACCTACTAGCCATCTATTAAATACAAAAAAGCTATATTTCCCTTGAGAAAAATGGGATTAACACAAAAATAATTTAATTTTCTAGAAAAAGAAAATCTTAGTTAAATTCAATTAGTACTCGCATGCGTGCAGCCATGCACAATATGACATCATCAAAATATTTTGAATTTGTTCAAATAATAAAAATGTTTTGGACATTGTTTCCCCAACATCATTAGGCGATTCTCTTTCTGGAAAGAGGGGCTAAGTGAACAAAATTCAACCCACTTACCTAAAACTGCAAGTACTCTCCAATTTGCAAACAATCCCAACAGATATGCCAGCATTATTCCAATAGTAACTGATAGCTATCCAATAAAAGATTTTACTTGACTAATCAGTTGATAGAAGTAAATATGGGATACCAAAATGGATGCTAATGTGGAACAAACCTGGTTCACCGATCCAAGGCTTCCTCTCATGTTTTGGGGTGCTATCTCAGCTATATATACAGGCACCTAGACATAATTATGATCATGGTTTATTCATGTTTTAAGCATTACTAAAAAATGTTCCAAGAAAAGAAGTAAAAAAACAGCTGAAAGCTTCCAAGGTACCGTGTAAGAGATAATTCCGACACCGAACCCTTCTAACAACCTTCCCATAAATAAAAACGAAGAATCCTACAAATGCCCAATGCCAGGAAGTTAGCAACAAGCTTTGCAAAGGAGACACAACGAGAAGTACAAAATTATTAAAAATCACTCACGTTGGCAAATGATATGGCCAGCCATCCTATAATGTTAGGAATCGCAGCAATCATTAACGACTGCAGATTTAACACAACAAATGCAACATTAAATTGTTAAAGTGGAAAAAAAGATTCATATTTGATCCAATACAGTGTACATACATATATAAATTTTGAAGATTAATGAATTAAATTTATAATTTCTCAGCTCTAAGCTCAAAGAAAACATTAACCAAAGGTAAATAAGGGAAATTACGAAAGGAATAAGTTACCCCTTTTCGGCCAATATATTCAGCAATCTGACCACTGGCTATTGCCCCAACCATTGCTCCCACATTTGACAAGGAACCAAAAACTGAAAACTGCCCCAAAATAAGAATAAAGGACTGATTTAATGAAAAGGAAAACAGAAAAAAACCAATTTAAATTAAAGAGGAAAATCGGGAGATTCCAAATTCATACCTCTGAAATCGAAAGCTTAAGATCACTGATAATTTGAGCTTGAGTAGGAGACGAGTATCCACACTGTATAGCCAAATTTAAAATAAAACCAATAATAATTACAGTTGAAAATGAAATTAGAAAAAAGGGAAAAGACCAAAGATGAGATTGAGACGAGAAGTGGGAAATTATTATACGGTGAAGCCAAATTGGATAGGGCCCAAGGCGACGATTAGGACACAGAGGACAACGGAGATTGATCCATCGCGAAGGACTTGGGAGGAAGATCCCATAATACTGGACTGCCTGGAACTCATCCGATACCAACTTCCGGTGTGCAAAAAGGGTTTCTTGAGATCCCGGCCTTCTTCATTGTCGTCCCGAAAACTCATCGCCAACTCACTTCAAGAGAAAAAAAAGGTCAGAAATTCAATGAGAAAGCTCTGAACTTTCTTATAATAGCAAAGAAGACAATAATGAAGATGACGATGGTGACGGTAATAAGACGTGTAATATATCAACATTTTGATGGGGGAAAAACACGTGGGCTGTATAGCCATTTTATATATATATATATATATATATATATATATATATATACTATATATATATATATATATATATATATATATATATATATATATGTTGGTCGCTAATCCATTCGTTTTTGGGCAACAATCCATGCTTTTCGTTACTTTCGACAATCGGGCTTTTTTTCCATCTGGGTTTGCCCGAATGGATTTGTTGAGTTCTTTAGGGTAAAATGCGGTTTTGGTGCATTGGACTATATTTTATTTTTCGATGAGGTACCTATAGTAAAAACAATTCTCAATTTAGTACTTATAATTTTCATTTTTTTTATTAAAAATCCATGATTTTCACTACATTAGCGGCCCGATGTTTAGCTTCTTTTGGATAAAAGAGCAGCCCATACACGGGCGAAAGCTAGAAGGGATCAGTGGGAGCCATGACTCTTAAAAATATTTTAAAAATAATATATATATGTATATTAAATTTATCACCACAAAAAATCTGTATAATAAATTATTAAGTTTAGTTACCTCAAAAAACCATATATACTATTTTAAAATTCAAAACTACTTAAATATCATTTATTAAAAAGAATTAATATGTATTATTATTATTTTAATTTGGATCATATCTCATATAGATGGGTTAGGATTTACTTACTTTGCGTAAAACTCTATTAATTTTACATAGATTTAGGATCATTGGATGAGTGAAAATAGATGACTGAGATTAACTCCTTGTTTTTTTCTCTAGTAAATATCTTTTCATTTCCTACTATTAATATCATTAATCTATTCTCATTAGTCTAACTATACCTATCCATTGTTGTTTTTTCAAAAGTATTAATATATTATTAAAGATGAGATTTCTAATTTATGCATTTATATTCTCAACAATCATTTTGATATTAGTGTTATCAATGATGTTAATATCATTCTTTTCTCAAAGTGTCTAATCCTTCTTCTATAGACCAATTTAGATTGAATAGTTTGTGTTGTGAACAAATTATGCAAGACTTTGGACTACTGTATTGATATGACACATGGAGGTTTTGTAACCCCCTCAAACTGATACGGATAACCCGATCCGATCTGGAGTGTCACATTAAGGCCACCGAAGTGCCCACCGTAAAAATAGCGGAAAATTTAAAACTTTTATTAAAACATGTAAATTATAAAATGATTTATCAATACGAAAAAATAAAACAGATTTTCAGACTCATATATAAAACAAAATACAATTACATGCCCCCTAATCACATATACCATACTCTGCAAACAACGCCGGAAGAACTCCCTTACTGAAGTCGATAGCTGCACTGATACAATTCTTTTAACCTGCAATAGTGAGTAATAGAGTGAGCTTCGGAAAGCTCAGTAATACAGAACTACCAAGTAATGCTACAAGACATGCCGATAAATGGAAAGCCATATCATTTCTTATTTACTCAAACGTATACTGATTTTCGAAATAATTTGGAGTTCCACTAGTAGTTCAACGAATAGAAGCAATGAATATCTCAGTTCATAGGAAATATTTCATAGTATCACGTTTTTAGGAGATCGAATAGGATGTCTAGTGTGTTCCAACAGTACGATAAAATCATAGTAGGTACAATAAACGAGTAATAGTTCAGTAAATCATCATAAAATCATAATGAAGTTTCACTTTTGAAACTCGTAGTTTAAATCCTTTTCATGTACACCATCCGCAGTTCCTCAGAACTACGTCCGTAGGGCTTACCTTAAGCACACAACAAAAAGGAAGCCACCTAAGGATAGGCTTTGGGCATGTAAACTTAGGCCCGTAAGTCCATAGGGCTTACCCTAAGCACACGGCAAAAGGGAGCCAACCTAATTGAGCATCTTGGGGCCCGTGAGCCTACCAAAAAGTCACATTAGGTCCGTAATCATCGTTATCATATATCAGTGAACACCAATAAACATATATCAGTCATAGTTCATAAACCATCATCGGTAAGTCGGTGCATCATAAAACAGTAACCATAGATTTTAGTGTACCACATTTCAAAACAGATAAAACAATTATATAGTACATAGGGAACACACTAGAGGATCCAAGTATTTTTCAGAGGCATTTTGTAATTATCGGTAAGGATAACATGAAACTCGTGCAATTTGATCGGATTCTAAGAATAAGGTCCTATTGGAGAGAATCGATTACTAACCGATCTAATCAGACATTTAAATTTGATACTCTAGAATTCCACTATGATTCGTGTGCATCAGGAAAGTGTTCAGGAATAACCGGAGTGATTTAAGCTAATAAAAGAGAAACGGAGATTCTAGACATTACAATTCATGTTGATCAATCGGTTTATCGAACTATTCGAACTGAACAACTCTCAGAACTAATGCGTGTCGACCCATCAATTTATTGCCTTTCCAGGTATTCACACTTTAATACTAACAATTCTTGTACATAAATCATCTTCATAATCATTGCTGAATAGATCTTTCTATGGTCTTTATTTCATTTCCACGTTTCAACGATATCAAAAAATACAGACATACTTGATTCATGGTTCATGACCCATAAAGATAATTCATCATGTATGTTTATCAGTGGTTTCAAACTCATTCAATCACCTATTAAATCCTCAGTCATTGAGGTTACTTAGTTTGTTTAGTAAGCAAGTCTATCCCGGTTACTTTAGAGTTTTCCAGAATAATTCAGACGTTTCTGAATTTCAAGTACATGTTGTACTTCCTTTCAGTTCAATTTAGTCATATAATAAAGTTATTCAGGTATTCATGGTTGATTTATATCACGAATACCCACTCATTAGTATTGTATGCGCTCTAGAGTTGAGCTGAGCCAAGTACTTCCAGAATTATCATCGATCCAAATTTGATAAGATGAACAAACATTCAAGTGGTACCTATATGATTTAGGTAATGATATAGCACTAGCGTTGGTTGATCACTTAAGTTGCGTTCCATAACTTTTTACTGGTAGCACAACATCCATATTTATTTGGATTTCTTAATTAATCCAAGACATTTACTTATTCTAGGTCATAAGGGTATGATGGTTATTTTGGTGCTCAGTTTTATTCTATTCATTTTAGAGCTCAAGGGTATCCAATCATTCCTGAGCTTGGTGAAATTCTTGGTCATTTCAATTACAGGGGTATTTTGGCCATCTTACAGATCTAGAATATTTCAATCATTTTCTTTCGTCCAGTCTTATTATTTAATTCAAACTTATCATTTATTTCAGTCCCTTCAAACTATTCTGACAATATATCACCATCGATAAATTATTATTCTTCATGTACTTACTCAAGTCGGAGATTTCTAGGTTAAATGCATTCTCAGATGTTACTAAAGGACTATCAGGAATTTTCCATACAAAAATAGGATCTCAACAATCAAATCAGTAATTTATCGGTTTAAAAGCAAATTCTCATGTTACTTTCTCATTTAGAGTCAACTTGGACTATTTTTACCTCTCAAGGGCATTTTTGTAATTTCTTAACCAGATAATTTTGGTATTAACTCTTAACGAAAATAATTATACTTTAGAGATCCAATGGTTAATTACTTTCCCGAACATTCTTTGATCTTGAAATGATTCTTTAACCGACTTTTAGTATCTTGCACAAACCCTCTTGGGTTTAAAAACTGATTATCCGAATTTCCTAAGCAAAACTAGCATTTTTTATGCACATATGAAATTTTACCGAATCAATATGTCTTTTCAGAGTTATTAACCACTTCCAGGTACAATTCTTGTCATCTTACAATATAAGGGTATTTTCATAATTTTATCCTACTGAAGTATTCTCATAATTTCCCATCCAAGTACCTTTAACATTTAACCTTTGATGATATAAAAATATAAGTTACAAATCCAGAGCTGATTTCTTTATCACCAATCACAAACTTGTAATTTAATTCTAACAATTCCTCAATCTCTTATATTAGTCACTCGATCCGTATTCAGTTACAACATTTCTACCACATTCATATCGAGTGTATAAATTATTCAACTCCACAAAAGTGATCAACATTATCTTATTCATGCATTTACCAATATCAACATGTTCCATAAAGCATAAAGAGGTAATAAAGTATTACCTCAATTTTCGTGCAATATTGATAGACCATTAACTTCCATTCAAAATTCCTCGATCATGAAATCATCTTCCAATATTTCCTCAGATCCATATCAACATAAATTACATAAAAAAACGGAGCTTAATTATGAAAAACGGATCGAATCGGATGATAAATCAGTGAAACACAGCTTACCGGGTTCGAATTTGGCGAAACGGACTTTGGATTCGGATTCAAGACGTCGAAAACATAAAATATGACATTTCGAAAATCTTGAATTTTTGGTCAAAGCCAAAGTCAACGGGTTTGACTGGTAATTGTGAGGCCTTCGGGTTCGAATTTCAAAAAAAGGACTGCGAAATCGGATTTGGAACGTCAAAAAATATCAGGATAGGTATACTCGGTCAAATTCAAAGGTCGTTTAATGCACAGTCAAAGCCGGTCAAAGTTCTGGTCAACTGTGGTCATCTCGGTCAACAGTCGACCATTTTACACAAATATCACCCTAACATAAATTAATTACCAAATTAGCCATATTCTGCAAATATTTACGAAACTAACACTTGAATTTTACACAAATAGCACCCAAACATAATTTAATTACAAAATTAACACCCAGACGATGCCCACTCTCAGGGAGGGGTGGCGCGTGCAGCACTTGAACAGTGCTAGGGTGTCGGAAAATTCCCGAAAAAATTCTTAAAAATTATTTTAAGCGATTTTGAGGCACTTACCAAGCTCGGTTCACAATTTTGAACGGCGGAGAGCTCGATTCCAAAAAGTCAGAAACTTTGACCGCTTCACCTCCTCACGCGCCGCCGCCGCCGGAGACAAGAAGAACAACGACCGACTCGAAATGACACAAGGAACACGATGGTGCGGGAGGTGTCGTAAATGGATGACCGGATCATCGTGAATCGACGAAAAACCAACTAAAATCGAGTTATTACCGACGATACTTCCGACTGAAATTAATGACAAACGACGACGATTCACGATGAAAGGTTTGAAGGGTTTTGTTCCTCGGTCGACAACGAACACGATGGTGGTTTTGGTTCGTCGATCGGAGATCGGACGACGAGTAGATCAGAATTGAAAAGAGGGTTGTTGGAGAGGAAAAACTGAGAAATTTCTGCAGAAAAACACACGGGATGTGGGGGTTATAATTCATCCCATAAAGAAAATGGGTAAACCATGAATTTAGTCACTGAACTTCCTACACTTTTTAAAATGGTCTGCCAACTTTACGATTTTACAATTTATTCCTAAATTTTCTTCCAAAATACCAAATTAAATTCACCACTTTAAAATTTCTAAAATTTAGCCCCTAAATTAGGGTGTTACAGGTTTTTTTCAGGAAGACATATCAATGATAATATTTTAGTTGTCTATGAAGTCTTATAACCTCTGAAAATAAAAAAAATAGATAAAAAGAAATTATTTGCTTTAAAATTTGACATAAGTAAGACTTATAACCGTGCAGAATAGTATTTTGTGGAAAGTATAATGTTAAGAACAAGGCGGAACAAAGTGGGGCCAAGGGAGCCTTATCACGCCAATTATTTTTTCAAATGTTAATTATTATTGAAAAATATATATTTTTCAAAAATAAATAAAGAAAAATTTACCATACTCTCCTCAATTTAAAAAAATATATTTATAAAAAACAAAATAGTTTAACCCCACTATAATAAATTCTTAATTCCACCACTCGTTGAGAATGAGTTTTAATTATCCGTGGGTATATATTATCGTGTAATGTTTGAAGACAATTTTGTATTTAGTGAGTTTAAATGGAATTAAGGGCAATTCATTTACACCAACACGTGGTCCAAGATAGGGGTATTTATTGAGAGAGTCGATCGCGAGTTTAGCTGTAACATCCCCAAAACCGTGCTAGTGACTAAAATATAAGTTTTTAAAACTTTGTGATCAATTTCAAAAAATTGAAAAGTTTAGGGACTTATTTGGAGTATATTGGTGTTGGATTGAATATCAAAGTTTGGTAGTAGAAAGGGCATAATGGTTATTTGGTAAGGTAATAAATTAAAAATTTATAGTGGTGTATATATATACACGTGTAGTAAGTGAGAAGGAAAGAAATATCTGGAAGTCTAGCTTCTTCTTCTTCTTTCCCCGTGAGTGCTTGGTTAAAGGTAAGATGATCTCAAGTTAAAGTTTCATTTCATTTTTAAATTAGTTTTGATTCTTGAAGTGATAGGAAAACTTAAGGAAGTTTAAAGAGAAATAAAAACTAAAAGATTTGCAAGTTATAGGAGATTGAAAATAAGGAGTTTTTAAGTGAATTGTTGAGAGAGAGTTTGTAAATGAATTTAGAATTCATATTTGACTTGTTATCAGCCAGAATAACAGATTTAAGAGGGTAGAGAGGATAAATAACAAAGTTGAATATGTGGTAAGATTTTTAGTTTCAAGTGTTCTAATGAAATATTGGATGTTTAGATGTGTTAAAGTGATATAAGTTTATTTG